AGCCCATATAAACCACTTTTAAACAATTTTGTTAATAGAGTTGGCAAAAAAATGAAGCTAAAAACCAAACATTTAATTAAACATTCCTAGGCCTAACATAGTGCATATATAATAATTAATTATGATAATAATTCATTGTGTCAGGGGTCAGGCAGACATTGTATATATACATGTTAGGCTTATATCGAGATTCTTTCCCCCCCTCCCCCCAAAAAAAAGGATGAAATCCATAGGAAATGAGCCCCACTATTTCTGTCCCGCCCGGGATTCGAACCCAGAATTCACGATTGTGAGTGAAGAACGAACCAGACTATAATACTGGGACCCTTATAATTTAATTTAATAACAATTATAATTCATTGCGTCTGGGACAGGCAGCCAGGGTGTATTCATACACGTTAGACTTATGTTGAGGTCCCCGCCCTCCCCACTCTCCAGGTCGAATTACTGACCCCCGCCCAGGATGCAACCCTACAACAAGCTAACTAACTCCCAAGTACCTATTTATTCCTAAATGAATAGGTACATTAGGTGATAGGAAATGCGCCCAACCATTTCTGTCCCGTCCGGGATTCGAACCCGGAATTCTCGATTGTGCGTCGAAAATGAACCCGACTGTACTACTGGGACCCTAATTACGTACTATATTAGGCCTCAGATACCGTGTATTAGGCCTAAGATGGTTAGGCTAGCTATCATTAGCAACATTTATATAACAATTTTTTTTTTCCAAATTCAAAAGTCTATTTTCTGGTGCTCCATCGTTGCTATAAGTAAAATTTATTTTATAATTAAGAGGATGGGCCGGTAACTCCACGCCTGTAGTTCAAGCATCACCAGGAACACACACACGTCATACAAGATAAGCGGGTTTCACCAAAAAAATTGTGAGGGGAATGGTTTTGAAAACGAAGAATGATAATGATTGACATTCAACGTCTTAAAGTTAATCGAATGATCAAAATTGTTCTTATGTGCATATGCAGCTAATATAGTCTTTCAGAGACAATTGTTAGTTTTTTTTTTTTTTTTTTTTTTTTTTGAGATATATACAAGAGTTGTTACATTCTTGTACAGCCACTAGTACGCGTAGCGTTTCGGGCAGGTCCCTGGAATACGATCCCCTGCCGCGAAGAATCGTTTTTTCATCCAAGTACACATTTTACTGTTGCGTTAAACAGAGGCTACAGTTAAGGAATTGCGCCCAGTAAATCCTCCCCGGCCAGGATACGAACCCATGACATAGCGCTCGCGGAACGCCAGGCGAGTGTCTTACCACTACACCACGGAGACTGTTTTTAGAATTGTTAGAGTTGTTTGAGAATTACGTTAATAAGAAAAGCGCGCGCAGATCTAGAGCTGAGAAAGCCAGGGTGGACAAGTTCAGTCAGTTGCTTAGTGGACGCCGGCGGGTAGAGACGCGCACCACGGCTGGTCAACATGTGTCTGCTGCATGTTATTGTTGCTGTACTGGCAACTGTGTCCATCACGCATGGACAGGGTGAGTATAGTGGACCAGGGTTGTCTCCATGTGTACACAGGACCACCGTGGACCAGGGGTTGTCTCCGTGTGTACACAGGACCACCGTGGACCAGGGGTTGTCTCCATGTGTACACAGGACCACCGTGGACCAGGGGTTGTCTCCGTGTGTACACAAGACCACCGTGGACCAGGGATGTCTCTGTGTGTACATAGGACCACCGTGGACCAGGGGTTGTCTCCGTGTGTACACCGGACCACCGTGGACCAGGGTTGTCTCCGTGTGTACACAGGACCACCGTGGACCAGGGTTGTCTCCGTGTGTACACAGGACCACCGTGGACCAGGGTTGTCTCCGTGTGTACACAGGACCACCGTGGACCAGGGTTGTCTCCGTGTGTACACAGGACCACCGTGGACCAGGGTTGTCTCCATGTGTACACAGGACCACCGTGGACCAGGGTTGTCTCCGTGTGTACACAGGACCACCGTGGACCAGGGGTTGTCTCCATGTGTACACAGGACCGCCATGGACCAGGGTTGTCTCCGTGTGTACACAGGACCACCGTGGACCAGGGTTGTCTCCGTGTGTACACAGGACCACCGTGGACCAGGGGTTGTCTCCATGTGTACACAGGACCGCCATGGACCAGGGTTGTCTCCATGTGTACACAGGACCACCGTGGACCAGGGGTTGTCTCCATGTGTACACAGGACCGCCATGGACCAGGGTTGTCTCCATGTGTACACAGGACCACCGTGGACCAGGGGTTGTCTCCATGTGTACACAGGACCGCCGTGGCCGCTGTAACGCGACATAGTCACTGGAACAAGACTTAATTTCACTATGGCTACTGAAGTATTTTGTCGCCCATAATCTAAATTTGTTAATAAAACGCTCAAGACAGGAAATCTACCAGAATTCTGGGAAAGGGGTAAATTTAGTCCCAATATTCAAAAGGGGCGGATTGATATATGGCGCTAAATTACACAAACTGGAGAAGTTGACCAGACCACACACTAGAAATTGAAGGGACGACGACGTTTCGGTCCGTCCTGGACCATTCTCAAGTCAATTGTGTCAACATACTTCAGCCACGTTATTGTGACTCATCGCCTGCAAACTGGAGAAACTCATCAAGTTGAGTGATGGGGGGGATCTGGAGAAACAAGCTGTGACAGAAAGGCAGCATGGATTTAGAAAAGTAGTCGTGTTTGATATATTGTATAGTTCAATGACAGGGTTAGTACAATAAGACAGAAAAATGAAAGGTGGGTATACTCTATCTTCCTAGATATTCAAAAAAACATTTGACACTTCCTCATGAGCGGCTGTGTATAAGATGAAGAAGCAGACTAGGATTGGTGAACTTGGACAGAAAACCGTCAAGAAGTGTTTTCAAGCTGAAGGTATGTAACTAGTGGGGACCCACAAGGCTTGTTCTTGGGACCACTGCTGTCATCTACTCTGTAGACGACCCACCCGAGGGAGTGCACACGTACATATACATGCTTGCAATTGACGCAAGGCTTACGAGGAATGGAAGAACAGAAAAGTATTGCAGGAAATTATACGACCACCTTTTTAATAAAAGGGTGCCTGGGACGAGTGGCGCCTGACAGCTGAGTGAACAGCGCTTCGGATTCGTAGTCTTGAGGTTGCAGGTTTGATCCCCGGTGGAGGCGGAGACAAATGGGCAAAAAGTTTCTTTTACCTTCATTCCACTTTTACCTAGCAGTAAACAGGTACCTGGGAGTTAGACAGCTGCTACGGACTGCTTCCTTGGGGTGTGTAACAAAACGGAGGCTTGGTCGAGGACCGGGTCGCGGGGATGCTAAGCCCCGAAATCATCTCAAGATAACCTTGACAAAACTCCAGGAGTAGCCAAACAAATTGTTGTTGAAATTCAATCCCAACTAGAGTAAGGAATTACGATGGGAAAGAGTGAAAGGAGACCAGGAGATATCTACACTATAAGGGGAAAGCAGCTACACGAAGACGATTTTGGAATGGATATGATTCCAACTCTAACGCTGGATGCGCACATGAACACGACAACATCAGCAGCGTGTGGGGCGCTGGCAAACGTAATGTCGTTTAGAAACATAAATCAGGACTCCTCCACTGCGATCTCGACACAGTTGTCAAACTAATGCTGGAATATGCAGCACCTGATTGGACTTCGCATCTTGTGAAGCATAAAACCAAAACTGATAACGGTTTTTTGCAAAAACTGATACCAGAGTTAAGCTTCCTAAGCTATGAGGCTAGGGTAATAAAACTAAATCTCCCAACTCTAGAAGTTAGATAGAACAGAAGGGATATGATCTCAATATGCAAGATACTGAGGGGAAAGAGAAAATATAGGATAAGAAGTCGATAGACAGTGACTTCTAGTCCTACTTTCTCCCATCAAATTTAGAAAAAAAGTAGAAAAAGAGGCGACAGATGGAAGCTGGCAGTACAAATGAGCTTAAGTACTAAGGAAGTACCCGTTCTCTGTACGAGGAGTCATCAACTGGAACTCGCTTAAAGACGTCGTGGAAGGCGCCTCCAACCACAACTTTACAGCCAGATTCGACAAAGAATTTGAACGTCAGAATAACTGAAATGTAACACAACAGGTACAACAAGGTTTGTAGGCGGGACATGAGCACTATAATCCTCATTCCCCCGAAGACACAGTGGTAAGTATTGATCAACTAGCACGGGGGGCCACCATGGGCGGCGGCGCTGTAGCACGGGGGGCCACCGTGGGCGGCGCTGTAGCACGGGGGGCCACCATGGGCGGCGCTGTAGCACGGGGGGCGACCGTGGGCGGCGCTGTAGCACGGGGGGCGACCGTGGGCGGCGCTGTAGCACGGGGGGCCACCGTGGGCGGCGCTGTAGCACGGGGGGCCACCGTGGGCGGCGCTGTAGCACGGGTTAGTCTCTATGATGGTTATTTTGAGATGATTTCGGGGCTTTTTAGTGTCCCCGCGGCCCGGTTCTCGACCAGGCCTCCACCCCCAGGAAGCAGCCCGTGACAGCTGACTAATACCCAGGTACCTATTTTACTGCTAGGTAACAGGGACATAGGGTGAAAGAAACTCTGCCCATTGCTTCTCGCCAGTTACTGATACTCAGTTACTTGGCTAAAAAATTAATCGTTATCAAAAAAAAAATGAACATCCAGTTTTGTTTTATGAACTTTGTTAATCCCCTCTCCAGTGTGTTAATTTTAAGATTTGAAGTCTTTCTTGCCTTTCCTTGAAGGTAGGCATTTGGGAAAGCATCTAATCTATCGTGATTTTTTTTTTTTTGTCAAGAGTGAGAGGGGGTAGGGGAGTTAGGCATGTTATCTCACATAGCAAGAGTAGAGATATAAACCTTCCCCAACCGGACACAGGTGTGTGTGTGTGTGTTTACTCACCTAATTGTGCTTGCGGGGGTTGAGCTTTGGCTCTTTGGTCCCGCCTCTCAACCGTCAATGTGTGTGTGTGTGTGTGTGTACTCACCTATTTGTGCTTGCAGGATCGAGCATTGACTCTTGGATCTCGCCTTTCCAGCTATCGGTTGTTTACAGCAATGACTCCTGTCCCATTTCCCTATCATACCTAATTTTAAAAGTATGAATAGAGTTTGCTTCCACAACCTGTTCCCAAGTGCATTCCATTTTTCTACTACTCTCACGCTAAAAGAAAACTTCCTAACATCTCTGTGACTCATCTGAGTTTCCAGTTTCCACCCATGTCCCCTCGTTCTGTTGTTTTTACGTGCGAACATTTCATCTATTTCCACTTTGTCAATTCCCCTGAGTATTTTATATGTCCCTATCATATCTCCTCTCTCCCTTCTTTTCTCTAGTGTCGTAAGGTTCAGTTCCTTCAGACGCTCGTCATATCCCATCCCTCGTAACTCTGGGACAAGCCTCGTCGCAAACCTCTGAACCTTCTCCAATTTCCTAATATGTGTTTCTTCAGGTGGGGGCTCCATGATGGCGCGGCATACTCTAAGACGGGTCTCACGTAGGCAGTGGAAAGCGCCCTAAAAGCCTCCTCATTTAGGTTTCTGAATGAAGTTCTAATTTTCGCCAGTGTAGAGTACGCTGCTGTCGTTATCCTATTTATATGTGCCTCAGGAGTTAAATTAGGTGTCACATCCACTCCCAGGTCTCTTTCTCGAATCATTACAGGTAGGCAGTTCTCCTTCATTGTGTACTGTCCATTTGGTCTCCTATCACCTGATCCCATTTCCATAACTTTACATTTACTGGTGTTGAACTCCCGTAGCCATATCCCTGACCATCTCTGCAACCTGTTTAAGTCCTCTTGGAGGATCCTACAATCCTCGTCTGTCACAACTCTTCTCATTAATTTTGCGTCATCCGCAAACATTGACATGTATGATTCCACTCCTGTAAACATATCATTTGCGTAAATTAGAAAGAGGATTGGTCCCAGTACCGATCCTTGAGGTACTCCACTTGTTACTGTTCGCCAGTCCAACTTCTCGCCCCTTACCATTACCCTCTGGCTCCTTCCTGTTAGGTAGTTCTTCACCCATGCTAGGGCCTTTCCGCTTACTCCTGCCTGCCTCTCAAGTTTGTATAGCAGTCTCATGTGCGGTACTGTATCAAAGGCCTTTTGGCCTTTGTTGTCCACTGTTGTCAACTGTTTCATTACCTCCTCTGCTGTCACCTTTATATCTGATAGTCTTTCATCTAGGGTAATCGCTTCTAACAATGGGAGCTGCTCAGGCTCGGTTGTGAACACTCCATGGAAACTTGCATTCAGTACCTCACAGATTTCCTTGTCGCTTTCTGTATATGCCCCTTCTGTTTTCCTCAGTCTTGTCACATGGTCATTTACCGACATCTTCCTTCTTATATGGCTATGTAGTAATTTAGGTTGCTTTTTCGCTTTGATTGCAATATCATTCTATGATATTGCAATCGATATGATATTATTGCAATTATAAATGGGAATATAATAACCCATGGTCTATTAAACCATGGGTTATTATATTCCCTCCTGCTTTCTTCCTTTACTGTTGGAATAAATCTCTCTTCAGCCTCCTTGCATTTCCATATGACTTGGTTCATCATACCTTGCACTGTTTTTCCTCTAAGTTCTTCCTCCCACTGCACTTCTCCCAGGCAGTCCCTTATCCTTCTGTAGTCCCCTTTTCTGTAATCAAGTCTCCTTTCCCGGACCTCTTGTCCTTTGGTCACAATTTTAAGCTCCATCATGTAGTCAAAAACTAGGACACAATGGTCACTGGCTCCTACTGGCTCCTAGTGTGTGTGTGTGTGTGTGTGTGTGTTCACTCTGGTACAAGTCTTATCACGTTGTGAAGTGATCTGCTTGATAGCTGCTTGATGGGGTTCTGGGAGTTCTTCTACTCCCCAAGCCCGGCCCGAGGCTAGGCTCGACTTGTGAGAGTTTGGTTCACCTGGCTGTTGCTTGGAGCGGCCCGCAGGCCCACATTCCCACCACAGCCCGGCTGATCGGAAACTTCTCTTAATTAAAAAAACAGTCCTGTTTTCTCTTGAAGATGTCCACGGTTGTTCCGGCAATATTCCTTAATATTGATCGTGCGTGTGTACTTTCTCGGCACACAATGTAACCCGACAGCTCTTCCAGGTAGGCACTATCGAGTAAGCAACTGGTGAACCCTTGTGGTGTGGTATCTCATGTGCAAGAAAACATACAACTCGAAGCTTCTGAGCGAAAGAAACTAATTTGTTATAAATAGTCTTAAAATTAAATTATTCCCTGAAAAAAATATCATTTTGGAATTTTAAAGTATTTTCTGTCTGTGTTTTCCCCTGGTACTGAAAAGTGCACGTCGCTTTGTGTTTCGGGTATTTCTCATCGGACATGAAATACTCCGCTGTCTCGCCCTCAGGGCTGGTGTTCGAGCGAGAGGGGGACCCATGCAAGCTCACCGGCGGGAAGTCCGGCCGCTGTGTGGACATCCTCTCGTGCCCAGGTGTCCACGGGACCTCCAGCACAAGCCCACCTCAGATATGCTGGTACACCGCTACCTTTCCCATAGTTTGCTGTCCTGTAACTGAAGGTATCTACAGCTATACTATATTTTCGTGATTATCTTTTTTAGTAGACTGCGCGAGACACGCATAATGTTGGTTTACAGTGAAGGGTAAATAAATAGGATAAAACCAACATATATAATGTTGGTTTACAGTGAAAATTACACGCCCAATTCATCTGGAAATATAAGAAATAACGACGTTTCGGTCCGTCCTGGATGCCGTATAAAGTAGTGTAAAAGAGTGGTACTATAGTCAATATATGCCTTGTACACAAACATTTATAACATTAAGCATTATAAATAAATAAGAAGAATGTTACATTCGAACATTTTATGACCATAGGATTTAAATTGTCATCCACACTACCGTGGATATAAACATTTCATTCACCTGGACCCCACAAGTGTGAACACGAGTGGGATCCGTGGTTCGAGTCTTCTAGAGTGCAGGTGAATGAAACCAAAGGCTCTGTTAAGATGACGAAAGGAAGGAAAGGAACTAACAGGAGAAAGCACCAAGCCATTAATTACGGCTATATAACACTTGGAAGGGGGTCAGGAATAGGATTTGTGATGGGACGGGGAGAAGGAATGATGCCCAACCATTTGGACAGTCGGGGATTGAACGAAGCGAAGTATGAAGGGAAACCGTCGCTCTACCGTCCAGCCCAAGAGGAAGACCGTCACTTTACCGTCCAGCCCAAGTGGAAGGGCTGTTAATATGACAGAACGGCAAAAACAACTCATAAAGTTAGAGTTGTTGGCAGCAGAGGAGTACTGGTGTTGTAGGACGGAGGAGTGTTATGCTACTGAAGAGTTGTGGTTGTGTTGGTGGCGGTAAGGTAAGTAATGACTGTTGTGTGGTAGTCGTCTCGGCAGTAAAAATTGGTAACCATAATTTAGTGTATGATTTAATTTCATAATTTAATGAACTATGATTATTGTAGTTATAATAAGTTGTTGGCAAAATTAGCAAGGATGGTTGTGGTGATGAAGGGTGTGTAATATCAACTGAATTCGGTATTGACAGATGCTAATCTTGCAGGAAGCGAGACTGAAAGTGTGGACGAGGCGCTCCTGCCGGAGACCTCGCCCCCAACCCTCAACTTTGGTAAGCAGGCCACAATACCTTCAAATGTAGAAGAGTAAAAAACTTCATTCACAAATGATTGTAAATGTATATTATTTAGTTTACTATAAATTACATAACAGATAACAAAATTATAGTGTACTTAAAAATGATAGAGGTCATGTAGTAATAAGAATTATTAATAATTTATTTGACAGCAATTATTACCAATCAGACATTAAGAGAATTAGATTAAATTAAATTGCAGAGAAAGTCACAATAACGTGACTTACAAATAACGGAACCTCCACACGTGTGAAATGAGTAACAACGTTTCGGCCTACCCTGGACCTTTATCACGACTCGACGAAGGTCCAGAACAGACCGAAATGTTACTTCTAATTCATGTGTGGATTGGGTAATATCACGACTCTCCTTCCAGAGTGCGGTTTAAGCAAACCTCGGATCACTTTCATACCATTCGGTAACGAGGCCTTCAACCTACAGCCAAGACAAGGCAGACCACCAGACGAGATCGTCACCAGCAGAAGGGTTGGAGTCGTAGAGGTGACTGGCGGCGCCATGGCAAAGATCAACGCCTGGCCTTGGATGGTGGGTGGTAATTTACCTGAACACTCCACATTGATTAGAATGTTCAACTTGCCTCTTAACATGTTGACGATTTATAAATTTATTCTATTCCTACAGCCTCACCCGTCGCCAATTTTCTTGGTATTAAATATATCAACACAAAATACAACAAGAAACAATGGACATAAATTGGATAAGTTTAGATTTAGGAAAGACTTGGGTAAAAATTGTTTTGGAAGCAGGGATGTTGAATTGTGTAACAGATTACCGGGTAATATAATTGACGTGCGGTGACTTGATTGTTTCAAGTGAAGACTAGAAAAAGTTTATTATTGTAAATGGGAACTCTTATATATGCCAGCAGGCCTTCTGTAGTTACCTTAATGCCTGTGTTATTGACTGGCCTGTTAGCATTTGTCTTCCTGGCCCAAATAGCCAACACAATTTTTTCTGGAAAGCTTCCACTTGTTCCAGTGGCTTAGTTTGTGATTATTTCCTGCAGTCAGAAATAGAATTTAATAAAGTTCTGTCTTGACCTGAGATTACTTGTATGCAGTTGCTGCTGTATTTTAAGATGATGCACCAGAAACGAGGCAAACGTTTAATATACCAACATACTAAAAGTTTGTCTACTTTGTGGCTTTATACAGTGGAACGTGATTATTGTTTTTAGCAGTTGTGTGTAGAAATTGTAGTTGCGTTATAAGAACGTAAGAGGAAAGAAAATTTCACAAGTCCTATTGGCCATTGGAAGGCAGCTTCTATTTGTACCCAACCAAACTCATTCATATATATATATATATATATATATATATATATATATATATATATATATATATATATATATATATATATATATATATATATATATATATATATATATATATATATATCCATATGAAACAAGAGTGACTCTATGCTCTTATGTTGTCCGGCATTTTGTTCCATAAATATACATGCTTGTTTCCAAAGTAGTATTTACCCAGGTCTTTCCCGATTGTAAATTTATTCATTGTATATTTATTTAGTGTTCTATTGTGTTTTTAATTATTTAACTTTATTTTTATCTCATTTGGATATCCTTTCATCCATTTGTATGCATCAATAGTGACGCTGTACTCGACTCTTTTCCTTTAGAGATTAACACATTAATCTTAATGTTTCTATTTAGCCGGTTTCTAATTCCTGGAATAAACTGTAATTTTTATCTACACACGTTTAGGTGAATTTGCTCATTATATAGAACCATACTTGAACTATTGCTTTCATTCCATAAGTGTATTGAGTAATTAGATGTCTAATTACTAATGTAGATTGTCATGATATCCAGAAAAATAATGTAAGGTAATTGAGGAAAAAGCACTTAGCCCGTATGACAATATATCACCCAGAATGGATACAAGGACATGAAACTGGAATAGGACATAAGGAAGGTAAGGTGTCCAACCACTTCGACCATCGGGTATTGTATGCCGACCTGCAAGAAACGACGCAGGTGTGATGACCAATCAAAGTGGCTGGACAGCATATCTGTTGAGTTGATAATGAAGTACTGTCTCCTCAGGCGCTGCTGGGGGAGCGCAAAGGGCCGGACATAAACTGGTTCTGCGGAGGTGTTCTCATTAATGACCAGTGGGTCCTCTCTGCTCTACACTGCCTCGAAGCCAAGTTAGTAGATGAGCCACATAGTGGTTTCTTGGTTTTGTACCATCTTCAGTCCATTGTTTACACTCGTGAGGCAGCACAAGAATCATGCATTCACCAACTTTGTTTTTCATAAGGATATATTACTTGACTGATCATTTTTCATTTACCTGATTTGGGAGGAAAAACTAATTGCTTTAATACACACACCCACATGCACCTCGTACATTGTGTACGCTCATCAAGACAAAACTTGTAATGGTAACGTGTAGGTCTGCAACCATAATATGAAAGTAGGGAAAAGTAGGACAATGATCGTGCACGTCATTTTTGGGATGCGTGCAAATCCCGAAAACTGTGTTTTTGAGAAGTGGTGTACAAATTGCATAGTGACAAAGACTGAGTTTTTTGGGAATAATTGTAGAGTTAAATGAAGATAGATGCAAATCCCGTAGAGTGCAGTTTAACGAGATGTGGAAACCCATAGTTTAAGAAAGTTATAGTTTTAGTGTGTAGTGTCAGAAGTACTGAGCAAATCCAATAGTTTACTACCTGATTTCCATCATCTACCAGTACTCCCTGTTAATCCTACACTATCAGTACCCTCTGTACATCCTTTTAAACTGGTAATCACCTACCAATACCACCAACTGATATGAACCAGCATCTCAACTACCACCATCATCTACCAGTACTCTGTTAATCCACTACTATCTACCCTTGGTATAAGCTATTAAACCGGCAGTCACTTACCACTATCAACCAGCACCCAACTTCCACCATTCAACTACCACTATCAACCACCGATCTGCTGCTATCTTCCACCTACTAGCTCCACTGGTATTTGTTATTAACTAGCGATGGCAATTGTACATTATCGATCCATCCCAACTTAACATAACCTGACCATACATTACCTTCCTAAGAATGATTGATGTTAATCATGTATCATTTTCCAGGATACTCTGCTTCGTATTATAGAGAATAGCTTGCTAGTGTAACATATGGGTTGGAGGTTCTGGGTGGGTTGGAGATCTTCTTGAGGTTATCTTGAGATGATTTCGGGGCTTTTAAGTGTCCCCACGGCCCGGTCCTCGACCAGGCCTCCACCTCCAGGAAGCAGCCCATGACAGCTGACTAACACCCAGGTACCTATTTTACTGCTAGGAAACAGGGGTGCAGGGTGAAAGAAACTCTGCCCATTGTTTCTCGCCGGCGCCTGGGATCGAACCCAGGACCACAGGATCACAAGTCCCGCGTGCTGTCCGCTCGGCCGACCAGCTCCCTTATGATTGTGATATGTTACGTAGAGCATCTTTTAAATGGCATTTCCAAGTATACGTACTTGGAACTTAAGTTCACAGTCAACTACACAAGCAGTTTTAGTATAGTTAATATAATCATATTTGTCAACATACCCACTAGGGCATTGACAAAGGCATGTGAGGGAGGATGATAACTCCCACTCAGCCATGGAGCGAGGTTGATTGCAAAAACAAAATGCTGGATGTGGGATGTTGGCACCTGGGGGAGACTGTAACAGTTTAGGTAAGCTTGATAATTACTTTTATTGTCGAGTAAATATGTTCATATTGACTCCTATGCTAAAACTGGTTGTGTATTTGACTGTAAACTTTTATTAACTACGTATACTTGGTAATGTCATTTAAAAAATTATTCTCTAATAATATTATAAGTTATATGGTTTTACCTTATTACTAGTAATCTAAAAAGAAGGTTTCACTAATAAGATTAGTGATCTTCCTACTCGTAGAGAACTTCCGACCCGTACGGAACCTCTTACTTGTATGTTACACTAGCTAGCTATTTTTTCTAAGATACGAAGCAGAATATCCTGGAAAATGATAAAATACACGATTAATGCCAATCTCTAGAAGGTTAGGTCGGATTGGGATGGATTTATAATGTACGATTGTCATCGCAAGTTAAAAAAATACCAGTGGAGGAGCTAGTAGGTGGAAGATGACAGTGACTCGGTGGTTGAGAGGGGTAGTTGAATGGTGTAAGTTGGGATGCTGGTTGATAGTGGTACGTGATTGTCGGTTTAACAAACTGTATTGAGGGTAGATAGTGGTGGACTAACAGTATACTGGTAGATGATAATGGTGGATGGTAGTAGTTGGGATGCTGATTCATAACAGTAGGTGGCGCATTTAGGCGTTTCCCAGTTAAACATAATGTACAGTGGGTGCTGGTAGTTAGTAGAGGATTAACAGGGAGTACTGGCAGATGATGGAAATCAGGGAGTCGTAAACTATGGGGTTTGCTCACTACTACTACTAAATAATCTCTACAGGATTTTCACACTAGTATAGAATAAACTCTACCGGGTTTGCTCACTACTTTTGATTTAACTTTAAAGTTTATGCTAAAACTATAGCTTGGATAAAATCTCTGGGTTTCCCCATCTCTTCTCGTTAAACTATACATGCAGCATTTCTGCATATCTTCTCAATTTTTCTCTACAACTTTTTTTTTAATACATTAGGTACATCTGTATTTGTGCAGCTACCCTAGACTGTATGAAGGGGAGTACAGTTTGTCAAAAAAGCTAGCTACGTGGTGCTAAAAATTCTCCATCACATAGGATGGTTAGTCATACAGAGGCATGTGATAAGTATTCCTCCATAAAGGCTAAGCACTCTACAGGATTTGCACACTTTACTTTCTCATACAGTACTTGTGAGAAAACCATGACAGAAAACGATGACAAAACTAAGCGTAACTAAACAAATTTCAGTGACGCTGAGGTTGTCCGTCTTGGCGAGCACGATTACAAGAATGACAATGACGGCGCTGCTCACGAAGACTTCGGTGTGGCGGACACGGTCCTACACCCAGACTACATCTATCCTCAGGCCTACCACGATCTGGCACTCATCAGGCTCGACCGAAAAGTGAAAATACAAGTCAGTTCACAGCAGCTTTCACATCGAGCTATTATTATTTAAATTTTTTCTCTAGCACAGAAGGGTACAGGAGTTGATGCCTTCTCTCATTAGGAAGCGCTCAGCTTTTCTATAACACATCACATCCTAAGACAAATATTGCTAGTTTTTTTGGAACCCTATCTGCTAGTATTTTTATAAGGGCCAGAAGTACAGTATTTATTCATCAACTTACGAAACCTGTTCATGTTTCTACAATCATGGCGGCTTTGTTTATATTAGTTTATGATCCACAAAGCTATTTTGCACCTGATTATGCCAGGATACTCTGGGTGGGTTGGAGATTGTGATATGTTACGTAGAGCATCTTTTAAGTGGCATTTAAACCAAATAAACCAGGGTGTTTATAGCAATAGTAACCCTGGCTTGACATTTCGAAGCTCGGAAAACTGTTAAATAAATTTAAACAAAGCCGCCGTGTTTAAGGAAAGATTCACAGGATTCATCAGTGGTTGTGTAAGTGCTTGATGGATCACCATTGTGGTCTCGAATAAAGAAAACACATCCCAGACTTTCAGGAAATTTGCAAAAATTCATCATCGCTGCCAAATGATTTTTTTTAAATATTCAATATTGCCAAGAAGAAAAATGTTTATTTCTGCAATAAATCATTCAGAAGTAAAAGTTGTCGGCAGTCTTTTTATATTCTGAGTAACAGCATAATGACCTTCAGGCAACAACATTAATAACATTAATGTGTAATTATTTCAGAGGCACATGATGCCTGTGTGTCTGCCCTGGGGGAGGGAGATGACCACCAACCTCACCAGACAAAAGGTCAAGCTTACTGGCTGGGGGGAGACCACGTATGGTGAGTGCCACAACCCCCCACCCCCGGGGTGTGATAGGTCTCGCTCCCTCCATCCATACCCTGTATGGTGTATGGTGAGTCTACCACTCCATCCTCCTCTGTGATGTATGGGAGTCTCTGGTGGGGAGGGGGGTGTCCCACTGTAGATGGTAACACATTCCACATTTCTTAAACTGTTTTGCTTTATCTTCACCATCTTCTTTACTCCAACTAACCCCCCCCCCTCCTCCTCTTAGACATCTACCACCCACACTCTACAAGAGGTACTGACGAGTTGTACCCCATTCCTGCCTTAGAGGGTGGCGGCAGATTCTGCCCATATACCTTCAGGGAAGTGGGGGATGTGATAGATTCATGCCCCATCCCCACTCTAGGGGGTGGCGAATTGTGCCACCCTCCTGCCAACCCCCAAAGCCTAGAGGCAGGGAGGGAGGAATGGAGGGGAGGGCTCAGTTATTAGCCCCCCTCCTCCCCGGGGATGTGGAAAAGGGACGTGTACTGGTCACGTGTAGCATCGTAACCTTGAATGAAGGAGTTTTATCCTATAGATCCTAATACATTATTATTTGTGACAGTTGTTTTCCGTTTGCTACAGACACGGTAACAATACATGTATATGTGAAGTGGTCTGGGACTCTCGCCAAGTACTCACTTTCATGTCATATGTTTGGGGTTGTTTTAGCTACATCGGTCATTTATTCTCTGCAAGAGAGAGTGGTATTTATATACAAAAAGGTACATAGAGTTTGTGAGAATACATAACATTGGTGTTCTTACATTCTTGCAAAGCCACTAACACTTATTGCGTTTCGGGCAGATCCATAATCTAACAGATAAAAAGAAGAGTAATTGAAAGGTACATTGTAGCAGAATTTGATTTCAATGTAATAACTACAATAAAAATTGATATAGATTATGCTGGTACTGTTGCATGTCTTAAGTACTACAATTGGGCGAGTGGGAAGCACAAGATACGAAACTATGAGGATATAATTAGATACGTTTTAGTTTTACGTTTGAATAAAGCAAAGGTTGGATAATTTTTCAATTCATTAGGGAGTGAATGCTATAGATTGGGTCCTTTTAGTTTAACCCTTTAAACAACCAAGTTATTTGTCCTACAGAGTGGTGTGCACGGGGAAAAAAAGTATTGAAAACTCATAGGGTTCAATTGCAGACATCGATAGGAGTAGAGTAAGAGTCGAGAGTTACTCCAGAAACTATCAGTTGAAGCAGTGCAGGGGTATAAACTAGCGTCCTGGTGAAAGATTGGCGTGCACCTTGATCAACTAGGCCACACAGGTTCCTGATGGTGCCCCAACTAGGTTTTACGAATAGCCCACCTGCACTATGGTGTTGCTTAGTAGATTAAGAAGCTCGTCTAGTATTCACAGGACGCAGGTTAAAATCTTCACGCTGCTCCAACTGCTTTTCTCATTAATATTTTTACGACATTGTGATTTCATATTTACTCATATTCTGATACTGTGCTTGCAGGCGGGTCTCTCAGCTCGACACTACAAGAGGTGGAGTTGACAGTGTTTCCGCCATCAAGGTGTGATCGCAGCTACTCGCAGCTGGACAGCTACAGTGAGAGATGGCCTCAAGGTATAGGAGACAAGACCATCTGTGCCGGCGACGGAAAAGGAGGAAGAGATGCTTGTCAGGTGCTGAAGATTGTAATGTTTCTGGACATAATTTTTCTGAGAGCAGGGGAAATAGGAGAAAGTTTCCACCCACTCTGGACAAATAACTTTTACTTTGTAGTTCATGGTTTTGCATTTTTTTATAGTAATAGCTTATATGATGATAGAAATAGCCAAAGTTTGTTTAATACTCTCAAAATTTTAATTAACATACTGAGTATAGTAAGCGGTATACATAATTGGTTAGAGAACTCGATTCACAGTTTTTCTAAGTGCAAATTTCCCCGTCCACTTTCGACGATTACATACTGCTGTGTCCCTCAGGGGAACAGGAACCAATCAGCGTTTTTGAAAGGGGGTTCCGTGGAACCCCAAGGTAACTAGGGGGGTTCCGCAAGAGAGAGTGTTCATAGGCTAATTCTAATCGCATGCAAACGTATTTTGGTCGTTTTTGTTTAATTGTTCTCATTTAACCAGTATCAAGAGCAGACATTGTCTCCTTTCAGTTAACAGGGCAAATTCCCTGTTTTTATTTAATGTATGACTTGGAATTATTTCAAGGATACAAAGATTGTATCTGCAATGTTACTTCGACCAACTGTGGTATTTTTCAGTGGATTGGAACTACCTACATTGTCTTTCCCCAGTGGGAGTGGAACAAACAATTTACCCCCTAGGGATCAGGATTCACATATGTCCTACTCTTCAGTTTTACAAATGCATGAAATTAAAGTTTAGTAGAGAATGTACGAACACTGGTAATACTTCAAAACTGAGTCATTACAGATGGTCAGTCGATAATTTCATCTCTCGTAAACCGAAAGTAAACTTGGTATAGTAAAAGTTACTGAATAAATTAGAGCTCGATACTCCTTACGTAGGAGCACTCCGACAAGAACGACAATGACGGCGCTGCTCACGAGGAGTTCGGAGTGGCAGACACGGTCCTGCCCCCGGACTACATCTATCTTCAGGCCTACTACGATCTGGCACTGAGGATGCCAAAAAAATTATAGGAAAGAAAGAAAGGAATATTATTCAAAATATATAAAATAAATATAAATAGGATTTAATCAAATTTAAACATTAAAAGTGGCCTCGCTGGGCGGCCCGTCCTCGTAAACAAAGGCTAAAAGTGATTCTATGCACCCGCCAAACCCATTGTTTATGAATGAAAAAAGATTTACACAACCCGTTCTCACACTAGGCTGTTTAAAGCAGCGGCCGTCCTCTCCAGACGCATTCATCAATTTGAACATACTGTGTATTAAAAATTGGTTTGTTCTCATATATAAATTAATGTTATTATACATAAAAATTTGATATATAGTTAGGCGTAGGTTAGGTGTTTAGGTGTCAACCGGTCCTCGACTCAAGTCCATTACATCCAGCGGTCGATCCCCCACAGCAGCTCGTCCTCTAAACAAAGACCCAAAAGTGATTCCATGCTCCTGCCAAACCCCCTGTTTATGAATGAAAAACAGTTTTCACACGACTCATAATTACTAACGTTCGAACACTTCCAGAACGAATTTTACTAACGAATTTTGTTCAAACCACAACGCTGTAAATGCTTCACCCACGTACTACAAATACAAATAATCTCCAACAAAACCTAAGCACCTAATCTAACCTATGCCTATATTTGCACAATATGCTAATATATATAATAATTTATATTTGAGAAAATTCCCGTTTTGGTTGAACAGCATGTAAAAATTTATGAATGCGTCTGTGGGGTCGACCGCTGGATGTAATGGAGTCGAGGACGGGTTAAGGGAAGACACAATTGCAAATTAAGATTGGCAAGTAATATAGTTCAATATTGCCAAATCCAAATTACTAACCATGGAGAAATGAAATGCCAAAATCAACCACTTGAAGAATGGATATATTAAATCTGGATACTTTTTATATCTCTGAGTATTGATTTAGTATGGAACTTTAGGAATAAAAAAAGATAACTGTGCACTAAAAGAAGTAACTATTTCAAAACGTTAGTAGTATGAATACTAATAAATTTATTTTATTAACAATATTAAGCCGGATTATAATGTACGGTTCAATGACCAAAACTACATAATGGGTAAGTGTGAAAATTATCCCCAATGATTGATAGGTTTACAGTTGACTGTTGGTGTTAGGACAAAAAGTATGATGGAAGTGTCCAAATAGATTAACAAAAGGGATATTAAGCAGATACTGAAAATATCGAAGCTTAAAATCATTAACAATATTTTCAGATTGGACAAAAATGATATAAAAAATATGAGTAAACATTGTTTTGGCAAGACTGGGCAGAGGCTCCTACTAGCCCTATAAAAGATAAAGTAAACAGGGTCTGGTAGCTATAGGCCCTTGCAGCGTTGCATCCATCCAATGTTCACATTTTGATGTCTCAACAGGGCGACTCCGGAGGTCCCATCGTGACCCAAAACTCTGTTGGCCGCTACACCTTGGCTGGCATAGTCTCCCGTGGGTACGGCTGCGGCCACAAGGACTTTCCTGGTCTCTACGTCAACATGCGGCACCCACAACACCTCGCCTGGGTCAAGAAAGTCGCATTTGGTTGACCCCTGGCATCCTGTCAGCCTCTGTCACTCGTAATACTTGGCCTTCGTCACTCCCGTAACCGAAACCCAACCACCTGGGCTGGATAGTAGAGCGATGGTCTTGCTTCTTGCAGGTCTTTCAGTCTCCGACCGTCCATGTGGTTAGGAACCATTTCTTCCCCCCGTCCCATTCCAAATCCTTATCTTGATCCCTTCCAAGTGATATATAGTCGTAATGGACTTGGCGCTTTCCCCTGATAGTTCCCTTCCCTTCCCGTGTCCGAAGTAACTGAATCCTGGTGTGCTGGCACTACAGTAGACGATAGCATGCTACAGCATCCCGGTACATGCCCGTCAAGGAACTGTTCGCATGATAACTCGTTCCGCCACTTCTGTCACCATAAAAAAGACACCATTAGAGGTCACGATGAAAGTGAAACCTAGATTTTTGTTAATGTTAGCCTGGAAATCAGTGTAATAAGGACAGTGTTTTATAATGAGACTATTTGTTTTAATAAATTTTAAAAGAAAGACTGATAAACTCCTCCACACTTTTGCTGAGCACTATTTTGTGTTACCAGTGAGAGGAACAGATAGCACCTTTGCACCTGGTGATTGGTGCAAATCATATGATGAGTTAATTAATAAACCAATAACCGTGAAGATGGCGAGAATCTTGGCCGCTACTATATCTCCAGTAGATTTAAGACAGTGCAGTATTGCTGGGTTCTCGGCCATATTGGTGTCCTTAAATGAGCGGCAGCAAGGAAGCTATCCACACTTGTCCCATCTCCTGTAAAGGTATTCCTCATTCCGACTTTACCCAGTTGTTCATTCCTTCATTCTTGCCCGTGGGCAGGGTCGTTGGTCTTCTGTTATTGGTAACAAACTGTGTTCTCTTAAGGGTGGTGTGTCCCCATGACCTTCCTCCTACCACCGTAACCGGCGGTGGGAAACACCTTTGGCGAGGTTACGTATTGGCCATACTCGTTTAACTCACGGGCACTTAATGGAGTGCCGCTCTGCTCCTTATTGTCCAAACTGCACTGTCTTTCTTACAGTCGTGCATATCCTTGTTGAATGTTTTGACTTCCAGGACATGCGTGTCTTGCTACATAATGGGTAAGATCATTAAGGATCATTAAGGACATGCGTGTCTTGCTACAATAATGGGTCCCGACCATCCCTCGCGGTCAATTATCCCTCGATAGAATTTTTGGAAAATCGGATACCTTTGATATCGTTCGCGTTATGGGTTTGTGTTCTCAAATTGCCATCCTTAGTGATATTTAGCGCGCCCTACGATTATCCCGCACATTTGATGCTGCTACATAGCCTTCCAGAAGGATTGGTGCCTTCTTTTTATAATTACTTACGTGGCTGCTACTATTGGTGGACCTGCGCTCCACAGCACTCGCTCTGCTTGTCCCAGGTGAAGGTTGTCAACGTTGGCGCTTTGTCCTTCATCTTATTAGCGACTTCGAACCTTGGTGTCCAGAAAGTGCCAGCCGAAGTTAGGTGTAAAAAGTGGGAACAAGGATTCAGGATTTACTTATACGCATACACGTGGGAGAGTGAGAGTGTGTGGGTGTCCTCCCACCCCTCTTCCTGCCGAGTGGACAGCGTTCTGGGATCGTAATCCTAAGGTTCCGGATTCGATCCCCGGCAGAGGTAGAAACAAACAAGCAGAGTTTTTCTAACCCTGATGCTCCTGTTCACCTAGTAGTACCTGGGAGGTAGACATCTGCTACGGCCTCCTTACTGTTGATGTGTGTGTTAGAGATAGATATATGTGGTAGACATAGTAGAGGAAAATTGACTGGTTGAAAAGGCGGGTTCCAAGAGCAAATAGGTCTATTCTGCAGGCACAAATAGAAAGTAGTAAACAAATAGTAAACAAACACACACTCATACTCTGACTGACTGACTGAATGACTTTCTTACTGACTGACTGAATGACTTTCTTACTGACTGACTGAATGACTTTCTTACTGACTGACTGAATGACTTTCTTACTGACTGACTGACTGAATGACTTTCTTACTGACTGACTGAATGACTTTCTTACTGACTGACTGAATGACTTTCTTACTGACTGACTGAATGACTTTCTTACTGACTGACTGAATGACTTTCTTACTGACTGACTGAATGACTTTCTTACTGACTGACTGAATGACTTTCTTACTGACTGACTGAATGACTTTCTTACTGACTGACTGAATGACTTTCTTACTGACTGACTGAATGACTTTCTTACTGACTGACTGAATGACTTTCTTACTGACTGACTGAATGACTTTCTTACTGACTGACTGACTGAATGACTTTCTTACTGACTGACTGAATGACTTTCTTACTGACTGACTGAATGACTTTCTTACTGACTGACTGAATGACTTTCTTACTGACTGACTGAATGACTTTCTTACTGACTGACTGACGTTCTGACTGGCTGACTGACTGACGTTCTGACTGGCTGACTGACTGACGTTCTGACTGGCTGACTGACTGACGTTCTGACTGGCTGACTGACTGACGTTCTGACTGGCTGACTGACGTTCTGACTGACTGACTTTCTTACTGACTGACTTTCTTACTGACTGACTTTCTTACTGACTGACTGACTGACTGACTGACTTTCTTACTGACTGACTTTCTTACTGACTGACTGACTGACTTTCTTAGTGACTGACTTACTGATTTTCTTGCTGAATGACTTAATGACTTTCTTACTGACTTTCTTACTGACTGACTTACTGACTGACTTTCTTACTGACTGACTGACTTTCTTACTGACTGACTTACTGACTTTCTTGCTGAATGACTTAATGACTTTCTTACTGACTTTCTTACTGACTGACTTACTGACTGACTTACTGACTTTCTTACTGACTGACTTACTGACTGACTTACTGACTTTCTTACTGACTAACTTACTGACTTACTTTCCTGTCCACAAAAATAAGAGTTCCTATTAATCACACAATAAGTTGGGTCAAAGTTGGCGTATATTAAGGCAAAGCTTATTTAGACTTAGGATAGATTGGATTATTTAGCTCAAACTTTGGACCGCCATTAAGAGCATTACAATAGTACGAAATGATATCAAGTTATTTTTTTAGCAGAATTTTTGTACATTCTGCCAACTGTTAACGTAAGTGGTGGAAAGTTGCAAGGGAGGCTGGTATAACGAGCGTCTAGCATGACCTCGTTCTAAATGACTTAATAAATGAAGTTGACCTTAATCTCACAGTTCACATAGACTCGTGTTGAATGACTTCCATGGTTGCATATTTTTTGCGTGTTTTTTTTTGTGTATTTTTTGTAGGAAAATCATTTTTCTTTCGAATTTTCGGCATTATCTCGACAAACACACACATCAGGACAAAACACACATTTTAACCCCCTCTCCAGGAAAATACCGAAAGAGGAGTCGAACGGGAAAACCTTCCTAGTGTGGTACAGCATCCCTTGAAGCATCATTCTCAATACTGCCGGATCTCCAGAATATATGTAATGCGTTCCTGTTACCCTAAATGTTAATTCATTACATATATATAATCTGAAGATGAATTTTATAAATATAACGTATATTATGAAGAAAACAAAATCCAGCGCATTCCATTACATATTGATGCTATGTGGCATGATTTTTTTTCCTACCACAGACGTGGCCAAACATTTACAATGCTAACCAACATATATACATTTTCTTCTGTCCTCTATGGACAGGGAGGTACACACACAGTTGACCGGCCCAGATCTGTTACATATATAGTTCATGGATTTATTGAAAAATCAACTACTGAAGGCGATTGTGGTGCTTTTAAAATGCTTATCTAACGTACATATATGAATACATATATTTACGTCTGTTCAACATAAACAATGTTCGAGGTATTTTTTTTTTGTCATTAATTTGAGTTTACAAAGGTGAAATGCAATTCTGACCAGCTTACGAATACCCTGTATTCGCGTGTGCGCACGCACACGCACGCACACACACACACACACACACACACACACACACACACACACACACACACACACACACACACACACACACACACACACACACACACACACATTAGGAAGCATGGATGAACTTCCTAATGCATGGAATGCATTAGGAAGTGATGTGGTGGAGGCTGACTCCATACACAGTTTCAAGTGTAGATATGATAGAGCCCAATAGGCTCAGGAACCTGTACACCTGTTGATTGACAGTTGAGAGGCGGGTCCAAAGAGCCAGAGCTCAACCCCCGCAAGCACAACTAGGTGAGTACACACACACACACACACCGTAGGGGCCTCGTAGCCTGGTGGATAGGGCGCAGGACTCGTAATATATATATATATATATATATATATATATATATATATATATATATATATATATATATGTCGTACCTAGTAGCCAGAATGCACTTCTCAGCCTACTATTCAAGGCCCGATTTGCCTAATAAGCCAAGTTTTCCTGAATTAATATATTTTCTCTAATTTTTTTCTTATGAAATGATAAAGCTACCCATTTCATTATGTATGAGGTCAATTTTTTTTTATTGGAGTTAAAATTAACGTAGATATATGACCGAACCTAACCAACCCTACCTAACCTAACCTAACCTATCTTTATAGGTTAGGTTAGGTTAGGTGGCCGAAAAAGTTAGGTTAGGTTAGGTTAGGTAGGTTAGGTAGTCGAAAAACAATTAATTCATGAAAACTTGGCTTATTAGGCAAATCGGGCCTTGAATAGTAGGCAGAGAAGTGCGTTCTGGCTACTAGGTACGACATATATATATATATATATATATATATATATATATATATATATGTGTGTGTGTGTGTGTGTGTGTGTGTGTCGTACCTAATTGCCAGAACGCACTTTTCAGCCAACTATGCAAATCCCGATTTGCATAATAAGCCAAGTTTTCCTGAAATAATATATTTTCTCTAATTTTTTTCTTATGATATGATAAAGCTACCCATTTCATTATGTATGAGGTCAATTTGTTTTTATTGGAGTTAAAATTAACGTAGATATATGACCGAACCTAACCAACCCTACCTAACTTAACCTATCTTTATAGGTTAGGTTAGGTTAGGTAGCCGAAAAAGTTAGGTTAGGTTAGGTTAGGTAGGTTAGGTAGTCGAAAAACAATTAATTCATGAAAACTTGGCTTATTAGGCAAATCGAGCCTTGCATAGTAGGCTGAGAAGTGCGTTCTGGCTACTAGGTACGACATATATATATATATATATATATATATATATATATATATATATATATATATATATATATATATATATATATATATATATATATATATATATATATATATATATGTATGTCGTACCTAGTAGCCAGAACGCACTTCTCAGCCTGCTATGCAAGGCCCGATTTGCCTAATAAGCCAAGTTTTCATGAATTAATTGTTTTTCGACAACCTAACCTACCTAACCTAACCTAACCTAACTTTTTCGGCTACCTAACCGAACCTAATCTATAAAGATAGGTTAGGTTAGGTAGGGTTGGTTAGGTTCGGTCATATATCTACATTAATTTCAACTCCAATAAAAAAAAATTGACCTCATACATAATGAAATGGGTAGCTTTATCATTTCATAAGAAAAAATTTAGAGAAAATATATTAATTCATGAAAACTTGGCTTATTAGGCAAATCGGGCCTCGCATAGTAGGCTGAGAAGTGCGTTCTGGCTACTAGGTACGACATATATATATATATATATATATATATATATATATGTCGTACCTAATAGCCAGAACGCACTTCTCGGCCTACTATTCAAGGCCCGATTTGCCTTATAAGCCAAGTTTTCATGAATTAATGTTTTTTCGTCTACCTAACCTACCTAACCTAACCTAACCTAGCTTTTTTTGGCTACCTAACCTAACCTTACCTATAAATATAGGTTAGGTTAGGTTAGGTAGGGTTGGTTAGGTTCGGTCATATATCTACGTTAATTTTAACTCCAATAAAAAAAAATTGACCTCATACATAGAGAAAAGGGTTGCTTTATCATTTCATAAGAAAAAAATTATAGTAAATATATTAATTCAGGAAAACTTGGCTTATTAGGCAAATCGGGCCTTGAATAGTAGGCTGAGAAGTGAGTTCTGGCTACTAGGTACGACATATATATATATATATATATATATATATATATGTCGTACCTAGTAGCCAGAACGCACTTCTCAGCCTACTATGCAAGGCCCAATTTGCCTAATAAGCCAAGTTTTCATGAATTAATTGTTTTTCGACTACCTAACCTACCTAACCTAACTTTTTCGGCTACCTAACCTAACCTAACCTGTAAAGATAGGTTAGGTTAGGTTAGGTAGGGTTGGTTAGGTTCGGTCATATATCTACGTTAATTTTAACTCCAATAAAAAACAATTGACCTCATACATAATGAAATGGGTAGCTTTATCATTTCATAAGAAAAAAATTAGAGAAAATATGTTAATTCAGGAAAACTTGGCTTATTAGGCAAATCGGGCCTTGCATAGTAGGCTGAGAAGTGCGTTCTGGCTACTAGGTACGACATATATATATATATATGTCGTACCTAGTAGCCAGAACTCACTTCTCAGCCTACTATGCAAGGCCCGATTAGCCTAATAAGCCAAGTTTTCATGAATTAATTGTTTTTCGACAACCTAACCTACCTAACCTAACCTAACCTAACTTTTTCGGCTACCTAACCTAACCTAACCTATAAAGATAGGTTAGGTTAGGTTAGGTAGGGTTGGTTAGGTTCTGTCATATATCTACGTTAATTTTAACTCAAATAAAAAAAAATTGACTTCATACATAATGAAATGGGTAGCTTTATCATTTCATAAGAAAAAAAATAGAGAAAATATATTAATTCAGGAAAACTTGGCTTATTAGGCAAATCGGGCCTTACATAGTAGGCTGAAAAGTGAGTTCTGGCTACTAGGTACGACATATATATATATATATATATATATATATATATATATATATATATATATATATATATATATATATATATATATATATATATATATATGTCGTACCTAATAGCCAGAACGCACTTCTCAGCCTACTATTCAAGGCCCGATTTGCCTAATAAGCCAAGTTTTCATGAATTAATGTTTTTTCGTCTACCTAACCTACCTAACCTAACCTAACCTAGCTTTTTTTGGCTACCTAACCTAACCTTACCTATAAATATAGGTTAGGTTAGGTTAGGTAGGGTTGGTTAGGTTCGGTCATATATCTGCGTTAATTTTAACTCCAATAAAAAAAAATTGACCTCATACATAATGAAATGGATAGCTTTATCATTTCATAAGAAAAAAAATAGAGAAAATATATTAATTCAGGAAAACTTGGCTTATTAGGCAAATCTGGCCATGTATAGTAGGCTGAGAAGTGAGTTCTGGCTACTAGGTACGACATATATATATATATATATATATATATATATATATATATATATATATATATATATATATATATATATATATATATATATATATATATATATATATATATATATATGCACAGACTATATATATATATATATATATATATATATATATATATGCACAGACTACCCTATTCCAGTAGCTGAAGTTTATAACTTCAGCTACTGGAATAGGGTAGTCTGTGCATTAAGCATTTGGCACTGAGTTTTCCCATATAACAGGAACCGATGAAAGAGCATCCGAGGTCCCACACTATCTCATTGCCTGGGAGAGAATTGGAGTTCTGGTTGGTTAAATACCCCAGAATTCCTACCTCTCTTATGGCTTTGAAGTATAGTGTAGTGGATACAGCATGCAACTGCCACCTTGTTGGTCAGTGTTCGAGTCCCCTGGTGGGTTGAGTGTCTAAAAAGTTATATATATATATATATATATATATATATATATATATATATATATATATATATATATATATATATATATATATATATATATATGTCGTACCTAGTAGCCAGAACTCACTTCTCAGCCTACTATTCAAAGCCCGATTTGCCTAATAAGCCAAGTTTTCCTGAATTAATATATTTACTATAATTTTTTTCTTATGAAATGATAAAGCAACCCTTTCCTCTATGTATGAGGTCAATTTTTTTTATTGGAGTTAAAATTAACGTAGATATATGACCGAACCTAACCAACCCTACCTAACCTAACCTAACCTATATTTAAAGGTAAGGTTAGGTTAGGTAGCCAAAAAAAGCTAGGTTAGGTTAGGTTAGGTAGGTTAGGTAGACGAAAAAACATTAATTCATGAAAACTTGGCTTATTAGGCAAATCGGGCCTTGAATAGTAGGCTGAGAAGTGCGTTCTGGCTATTAGGTACGACATATATATATCTATATATATATATATATATATATATATATATATATATATATATATATATATATATATTATTAATAGGGGGTACCACCTCAGGTGCAAGTGTAGGGACCCATAGCCTCGGAGAAGAAAATAAAGAGTACTCAGAGAAGACCTTGTGGATCCTCACTGAACACTTTGATATTTTCTTTTCCTACCACCCCTATTCTTTTGGTATGTGTGTATATATGTCTAAATTTATATGAAAATGTCATTACACAAAAAAAGTTACAACATTGGTTACATGCAGGGTACAAGGCTACTTGTCACAAGTTGAATAGCTCCTCCAGCTCCTCAGATGGCGGACAGGAACCATGGATGCAGTGAGCATTTCCTCTCTGGATTGCCACACTAAGGCGCTGAAAGAGAAAACTGGCAGCTCTAGGGTCTCTAGTTGTTTCGATTAGCTTAGACCCTAACTCCTTCAAAAAGCTAGCAGCACTTTTACCCCAGGCACCAAGTGTCTCTGAGGCAATGGTGACGAAATTGTAGTGGTGCTCAAGGTCTCTGTATTTACGTGACTTGGCCGCTTCCTGGTGATTGGCAGCTCCTCCTGCTTGTGTAGCACTGAAGTCAACATAGGTGTTGGCTAAAGTTGAAACGCAAGTGTAGTCCCACACCAACTGTCTAACATTCTTCCAGGGGTTCACCGTGATTCCGTCTGGGCGACCGACAGGCTCATCAGAGTTGTGGGACATTAGGTAACGGGGCTCTCTCTCTGCTGGACACAACCGGCTGTGGTAAGGCTTCTCTCTCTCTCTCTCTCTCTCTCTCTCTCTCTCTCTCTCTCTCTCTCTCTCTCTCTCTCTCTCTCTCTCTCTCTCTCTCTCTCTCTCCCTCTCTCTATCCTTCCCTCCCCAATGCACGAGGAGTGTGACGTCACAATAACGTCATAATGCTCTTGCCAGTACAAGTTTCAGACCCGACTAGCTGGTTCTTTTTCATTATGTTCATAATTTTCCTGGATATTTCTTTGTAGTTAGAGATGAAAGAGATATATTAAAAGCTTACGTCATACACGGAGACTTAAGATGATGCATAATAAATTGCTAATTATAAATATATTTTTTAAATACTGCAGCTATTAATACAAAAGTGAATTTTGTTTAATAAAACTTAAAAAGGGGTGAATTATTCAAATCGCTATTATGAGCAGGTAACTGAGGAGGCGAGTCTAATGGAGCGTCCGGAGCAGGTTGGTCGCCAGTGTCTGGGTAAACCCCAAGGTGGACAGAAACAACATCATGGGTGCTTCTGAACTAGCTTCCTTCTTGCTGCTGGCCACCGTTGTCTTAGCCTCTGTGACCTGCACTCTGGCCCAAGGTAACGTAGTTGTTCACTGTGACTAGCACTCTGGCCCAAGGTAACGCAGTTGTTCACTGTGATCAGCACACAGGCCCAAGGTAACGTAGTTGTTCACTGTGAACAGCACTCTGGCCCAAGGTAACGCAATTGTTCACTGTGACCAGCACTCTGGCCCAAGGGCCAGAGTGCTTCCTGTCTTTTTCCAATTTCCGATACGTTACAATAGCAGAGTTTTCTACAATGGTGACGTTATAGAACACTGACCTGCTAGAAGTGAGACCGTCGCAGTACCGTCCAGCCCAAGTGGTTGGATAGGATTTACCCATCCAAAAAGTAACCTGTTTTATCTGGTGTGTAGTTCATCGTCTCTAGGTATTCTACAAGTATATTTTCGATTGTTTTCTATTATCTTTATGGGGATTATCGTCATTGTTACCGGCCTCTAGTTTAGTGTTGTTATGTTTTACGTTTTTCTCTTGTTTCAAGCGTAGGTTAGGCAAATATGTGAATGAATTTCGGTGATTATAAAAGAGAGTTGATACGTATGCATTAATATGCTTTTATTCAGAATTCCGGTTGATTACTCCTGTCAGGATTATTTCCTCAGACCCCAGCGTAGAAATAGTGACACGGCTCCTCCCTCACTATTCACCAGCCAACACTTGTACTGGTGAATAGTGAGAGAGAGAAGAAACAACGCCCTTGCTTCTTGCCGATCAACGTGCTTATATCCCCGCTTCTTGTTCTTATGTCTCAGCTCCTTGTAATATTCCATTTCCCTCACATCCTACTACCTTGTGATGCGGGGTCTTAGCTCCCTCTGTCCTGGGTGCCACTGAACTCCCTGGGAGCACCTCAGTCCTCAACCCATCCTCGACTCAAGTCAATTACATCCAGCAGTCGACCCTACAGACGCATTCATAAATTTAAACATTCTGTTTATTCAAAACAGGAATTTTCTCATTTATAAATATATATTATAATATATTAACATATTGTGCATATTTAGGCATAGGTTAGGTTAGGTGTTTAGGTTCTGTTGGTGATTATTTGTATTTGTAGTACGTGGGTGAAGCATTTAGAGCGTTGCGATTCGAACAAAATTCGTCAGTGAAGCACTTGTTCCGGATATGTTCGAACGTCAGCAGTTGTGAGTCGTGTGTAAACCGCTTTTCATTCATAAACAGTGGGTTTGGTGGGTGCATGGAATCACTTTTGGATCTTTGTTTGGAGGACGGGCTGACAGACGACTCACAAATGATTTCGTTCGAACACCTCCGGAACAAGTGCTTCACTGACGAATTCTGTTCGAACCACAACGCTATAAATGCTTCACCCACGTACTACAAATACAAATAATCACCAACAGAACCTAAACACCTAACCTAACCTATGCCTATTTATACACAATATGCTAATATATTATAATATTAATTTATACTTGAGAAAATTCCCGTTTTGAATAACAGCATGATAATTAAAATATATGAA